CTGTGTTTACCTAAGTACAGAAGTGTTTATTGGATTACCTAGGACTAGGACAAGGAATGGATACATTTGATGGGGGTCAGAAATTGCATTCAGGAAACACCGAGAGCCTGAGCAACTGTCTGGTGGAGGGCACTCATAGAGGACCTAGGAAGAGAGGGGAGGTACGGGTTGGATACTGAAAGGAAATCTTATTAAGCCAATAATTGTAAGGTATGTGAGATGAGCAGGAGGGAAGGCTAAGGAACCAGCCATACCAGAGGCCTGGGCTGTATTGATGCAAAGAGCATGCCTCTGACCCCAAGCCCCAGAGAAGAGTCAAGAACTGAGTGACCCCATTACAGTCACAGGACACCACTGTAGAACGAACCCCTGTTCTGACCCGGGGATACCCCTCCCATGACTGGGCATGTCCCCAGCGAGTTCTGCAGGGGAGAGGCATGAATATACACAGGGAAGATGGGAGCCTGGTGGGACCCAAGGAACTAGCAGGCAGGGGGCCTTCCTCAGCATCTATGTTTGAGGGGAGAAGGCGCCAGCCAGCCAAGGCTGGGGAAAAGGCTGGCTGGCAGGCAGTTTGTAGCTCATGGGCCTGCAGTTGTTGGCTTCAGGTCTCCCAGCCCACACTGTGTGGGCAAGCTCAGGTACCACACAAAGGACCACTGAAAAGCCCTCATAGCATAATGGCCCAGCCTTTTGTCCTCCCTCCTCCTAGTGACAAATCCTTCAAATGGCCTTTCCTTCTCCATCTTTCTCCTGTGCTCTCTCTGTTACCCAGCTTCCCTGCTAGCTCTAAGTTTCTCCAGTAACTCAGGAGGTCCAGAGTTTCTTCTCTTTTTGTACCCACCCTGTCCCAAACCAGAGCCCTGGTTGGCCCCAGATGCTTTAGGATGCATGGGTGTCTTGCTGAAAGGCAGGATGGAGAATAAAGGGCTGGAGATTAAAATTTGTAAAGTGGATTTCCTCCTTGCATTTTCTGATCATGCCATCCCTCCTTTTACCATCCCGGAGCCTGCCTTGCCACCCAGGGGTTCCTCTTGCCGCCTTAGGCAGCTGCACTTCATCAGTGATGCCCCGTTCTTTGCTTATTCATCTTTTCCTGGGTGCTAGTAGATGGCTGGGTTGCCGCAACAGAGGCAGGCAGTTTAGAATGTCTCTGGAAAAGGCTAGCAACCTGTCTCAGCTGTGTAACCCCAGTTGTAGGCCTGCAGTCAGTCTTTTTTGGAGACACTCGAACTATTGCAGTCAAATTGGCATGGGTTCAAATTCTGGATCAGACTCCCCTAGCTATGTGACCTTGTGGAGATTACTTAACTTTTCAGAGCCTTTGTTTTCCTTTAAAATTGTCATAATCACAGTACTTACCCTCTCCCATTTATTGTGAAGATTAAATGTGACAATGCATACAAAATGCTAGCACAGTGCCTGGCCCAAAATAAGTGCTCAATAAACATTAGCAATCATAATTATTATTACTATTCATTGTCATTACATAGTTAGAAGCCCAGGTTCTGCTACTTACTGCTACATGAATCTTGGCTTCCTCCTCTCTAAAATAAAGACAATGATGTGCCCTAAGTAAGGTTATGGTGATCATGAAATGAGATAATGCATGTAAAGCTCTCAAGGCTGGCTAGAGGTCCTACCAAGGGAGTAGAACTAATTGTATCCCCTGGGATGAAAAACTAACCTCCTTTTCCTAGGATCATTAGCCAAGTGCCCAGCTTGCAGTGAGCGATGGGTCGATAAATGGTAATCAGTATTACTATTACTACTGGAGGCCAAGAGAGTCTCTGTCCACTTATCCCTGGATTCTCAGTTAATGGTGAGTTGGGTGCTTGGTTGTTAATTGCTGATTACAGCCCAAGGTGCCAATGAGGCTGGGCTGCCTCCATCTACTCTTGGTGTACAGGGGAGAAAAATAGTGTCACCTATTAGCTTCATCTCAATGTATTGATTTCAATAGGAAATGGGCTTCTGGCTGGAAGATCATTCATCATCTAATTGTTACAAGATTTGAAGAGACTGAACTATTATCCCGAGGGGATCCACCTCACCAGCTTTCAATGAAACTGGATCAAGGGGCCTGGTTTTACACTCAAGCTTTCATTTTGCTGCATTTTTGGCATGGGGTTAAGAATGATGAAGAGCCCTCTCTGTACCTTGCTTCCTGCCTTCCCTCCTCCCTCATTTCTATTGTGCAGAGGAAGTATACACAGTGGTCATACAACAGAAACAAAAAAACAAAAAAATCCGACCTATATGATTCTCTGAGGGGCAGGGGAAGGGGGCTGGGGGCATTCTCCCTTTGGAAGTGAAATCAACCAAAGTGTACACAAGCTTGAGAACTCACATTGACCAAGAGCAAGAAACAATGCAAATGCCACATCACTTCAGACAGAAGTTAGGTGAATAAGAACAAAATAGGGAGCGTTTTAGTAGATGACTAGGAGGTAGATTGGTCTTGAGAAAGACTGACAAGAGACCATTTGCTAAGATCTTTCACATCCATTATTTCGTTTACTACTCCCAGAAACTCTATGAGGTAAGTTCTGTCATCATCTTCATCCCACAGGTAAGGCTCAGAGAGGGTAAGTGACCTACCAAAGGTCATACCTCTAATAAGAAGCAGACTCCAAAAGCTGTGCATATAATTACTATTCCAAACCGGACAGTACCCCACTGGTCACCCAGGAGCCCTCACTTTCACATTTGTCCAGTGGCACAGTCCTTCCCAATACTCTCTCCTTTGTCACGGCACAGCAGATTGTTTACAGCTCAGCAGATGACTGGAGCCCAAGCATATGCTTCCAGTGAGCCCAGTGAGCCCAGTGAGCAGCAGAAGACGGCTAATCAAAATTGTAAAATGCACTTTTTTTCCTTATTAACCCATTGAGTTTTATTGTAAGAACTGATACAGACCAACTTGTTGGTATCTGTGTTACTAATATAAATGTTAATAAGGAACAAACTGGGTAAGGATCAGGGGACTCCAGAGGGGATTCTTCTCCCCCCCCCACCCTCACCCCCAGACACCACCCCAAGGAAACCAGCCAGGGACTGTCTGGATGCAAATAGCATTATTCATACTGGGCAGCTGGTTCCCGGCTCCCTCTCCAATCCCTGGAGACCGGAGGCCAATTCTTCCCTGCTTGTCTTCACCTCTCTCTTTCAGAAGGATTAGAAATCAAGTCTGAGTCACTTCTCTGGCTAGACTTTTTCTTTTTTTTTGTACTAGCTCAGTATGTCTGTGTTCCCATGTGTGACTGCATGTGTGTCCCTGTGTGTGTGTTGTGTTCCTCAGAGCAGCTTCTTCTGTGTGGGTCTGCTTGCGCGTTTATCAGGAATGTTGCATGTTTTTTCCCTGTGTGTCTTTACTTTCACTCACCATTCGTTTTTAATAATTTCATCAACTTGTTTTCCCAGACTAGGCTACTACCCCCATCCAGATGCAGGGAATTTCCATCCTTTTTTTTTCAAGGGAGGAAGTGCCAGGAAGGAAGCAAAAAGTGTGTTCAGTGGACGAATGACCAAATCTGCTAGTCAGCTACTCCACTGCTGATCCTAGCTGCAGGGACCCAGGGAGCCCCACACCCAGAGCTTTTCTCCATGTTATGGAAATGCCACACAGCTTACAAAACCATCCCCTTGCCCATGATTGCCCCTCAGTAGCCCTCCAGCCTCTTCTGAGGTTCTACTGAGATGTTTAAATAGAACTGGAGGTGAGGGAGGGAGTCCAGCTGGACTGGGTCCTTCTTTACCAAAAGGCTCCCTTCCAGAGTCCAAGCACAGGAGAGATTGAGGAGAGCTAGCTCACTGTTCACCACAGAACTGCTGAGGCCCACATATGCCAGTGTTAGCTGTCTCTCTGAGGAGCCTCTGACACTTGGAAATTCACCGTGATTTGGCATCACCAGAGGCTCTTCAACTCAATCACTTCCTTCTGCTTTTCTCCTCCCTAGACTCAATTTCACCCCTCTGTCACCCTGTCTAGCTTCCCAGTCCCTCTGAGTGCTCAGTGAGGCTGCCCTTTGGGGAAGAGGGAGAGTGGCCTTTCTTCTTGGTCCTCAAAACTCCTCTAAATGGTTCCGCAGCCAGCTAGGAGACCAAGAGCCTTTCTTGAATCTCGCCTGCTACATGCTTAGTATTCACAGCGTGTCTCTCAAAAATGTCCTGAGATCATTCATCAGGCACTGTGCTGTGTGCTACTCTCCTTTGAGGAGGGGGGTGCGCGGGCAGGACCCTCCCACTCCCTGCTGGTTAACACAAACGCACACACACCTTAACCTCCTTCCCGTCTTATCAAGCCATCCGCATGGTCTAAGCGGACCTCTGCCAGCTGGCAGATCGCTCTCTTCCTGAGGTGGGCTCCCGGGCTGGGCCTGGACTCAGAACAGCTCGCACTCCAGTGCTGGGGAGAGGCGCTGCGAGCAGGAGCCGCAGCCAAAACTCAAGGTGCGTATGGATGTTGGTGGTGGCGACCAAAAGGGGAGCTGCAGGGAGGGCGACCCCAGCTGAAGGCAAGCAAACAGGGGGCGAGGGGGAGCTCGGGAAGCAAGGTCAGCGGCCAGGGACTGGAGTCCCGAAGCGAGTGTTCCAGCTGCCCTTTCTCCTCAATTACTCCCCCCCCCACCCCCACCCCACTTTCCCGGGTTCACTTTGGAAATTGACTTGCCTTCTTAGCAGCCGGCAGTTCCCGGCAGAGCCCAGCCGAACCGTCAGGTTCACGAAGTGAGGCAACGCGGGGCTGGGTGGCTGGGTTGCTAGGTTGTATCTTGGGAGAGTCTTTCCCCAACTGCCAATTTTGTGTTTATTTTTAGTTGCGACCCGAGTCGGGAGCTGTGCCTTTAAGCCGCGTTCCGATTCGGGGAAACTGACGCCAGCACTCGAGGGTCGCGAGGCGCCGGAGAGGCCCCTCATTCTGCACTCCCCTCTTTCCTTCCCCTCCCCTCCCCCACTCCTCCCCTTCCCCCCGCCCCTTCTCCCCTCCCCTCCTCGGCTGTCCGGCCGCCTCGCCGCCATCCGTCACCTCGCCGCCTGCCGCACTCCTGGAGCGAGAGAGCGGCGAGCGAGCCAGGGCGATGGTGCCGCCCGCGGCGCAGCCATGGAGCCCGCCCGAGGAGCCCCCGCGCGCCGCTGCCAGCCTGCCCGCAGCCCGCCGCCTGCGCGCCAGCTCCCCGCGACTCGGGCCGGCTGTTGCCGCCCCGCCAGCCACTGTCCGCCCCTCCGCTCGGCGCCACTGAGCCCCACGCCCGTGCCGGGCTCGGGGACGCGGGCGCCCTAGTCCCGCCGCCGTCGCCGCCGCTGCTGCTCCTCCACCGGAGCTGCCGCGCCGCCGAAGAGGAGGAAGAGAAGGCGGAGGAGGAAGGTAAGAGGCGCGCTGCCTTCAGGGGGGGCGCGCCCGCAGTCTTCAGCCCGGCCCGGGGTGGGTCGCGGCGGGAGCGTGCCGCCCCGGGCCGGCTCGGAGGCGACGGGCGCTTGGGCACCCTCCAGGAGCCGCGGCCAGGGCGGGGTGCCGAGCGTCGGGTCGGCAGGAGTTTGGGCGGGCGGGGGGAACGGCCGGTTGCGTGCCTACTGCCCCGGTGAGTCGCCGGCTTGGCGGGCTTGCGTAGCCGCCGGGGTGCAGGGTGAGGAGCCGTGCGCAGGGGAGAGCAGCGCGTTCATTATGGAGGCTTTGTGTGTGCGCCGGGGCCGTGGGCACAGTTGGGAGACCTGGGGAGACAAGGGGCCGGGCTGCTGGGAGGTGGCCCCTTAGCCGGGGTGCCCAGAGAAGCCCGAGCCCCAGGGTTGCCAGAAACAGCTGTTTGAAGCATGTGCGTGGTTCCCGGGGCCATGTTCACACGCGGACACAGACGCGCACACACAGCCGCACCATAAACCCAGCACTCAGCTACACAGTCACCGCCATCCAAAGAGGAAACACACACACACACACACACACACACACACAGCTACACTTGCCCCCTCCCACCAGGTTGCTAATCAGGCAGTCACCCAAACACATACTTACACGCACCCCCTCCCCAGCACTGCTAAAACGTGTGGGCACACGCGCGCGCGCACACACACACACACACACACACACACACTCACATTCACACTGTTTCTACTCCTTGGAGAGTGTGTATGTGAGTGTGTGTGTGTCTCAGAGTGTCCCTGAGAAACTACCGCAGATCCAGTACCTGCTGCCCCCCAGTGCTAAACACACAGCCAACCCCCAGGCCAAGCTACTGTAGACACCTCCACCAGGGCCCTTAAGAACTCCATTCTGGAAAAAAACGTTCCCAACTGTGGTAGTCGTGCCCATCCACACCTGAGTTCCTGGGCCTCCAGCGCACACACACTCAAACCAGTGCAGGGGCAAATGCTTGACACCTTTCCCCAGAAACAGGTGGCACCCATGTAGCTGCCACCAAAATCTCTTGAAATCACAGTGTACTCTGAATTCTGCCAGAATTGCCCCCTCCTCTTGGCATCTTAGTCCAGCTGCAGAACCCTGGAGTCCACCTGGTGGTCTCAGCATCTTGCAGCTCTTGCAGAGGGCGAGGCAGTCTCTGGACTTCTGTCCATTGGAGAAATTGCTGTGAGACCAAGACTCCCTTGGGGGCACCCTTCTCAGGTGGAGGGTGGCGGATCTATGCTGACTCAGAGAGAAGCCCCAAGTGAGTTTTCCCCACTGGAGTGAAGGCTGGGGTAAAGGGTGCACACATTGGCCTGAAAGGCCCGAGTAGTGTGGTATTTCAGCCACCAGGTCTCTCAGCTGGGGGACCCTTGCCTCTCCATTCCCTTCCCTGCCCGTCAAACTCACTGCAGGAGAATCACGGGAATCCACTTTCCAGCTTCCCAGGAAGCCTTTGCTGTTGTCACTGTGTAAAAGCTCTCAGCTCTCCCGAGGGAGACCTCAACAAGACTTGCCATGTCCAGGCAGACATGCCAGCTTCTACCCAATTTCGTGGCTTCTTTTTCTCATGTGAGAAGCAATTCAGCCTCAGCAGCTTGGCATGAGGGTACCCCTGAAGTGAAATAAGACCGTGTGTGTGTAGGAAAGGCAAGATTGGGTACAGGGAGGATTAGTGGGTTTGACCGGTTTAAATAGAAACACTGAGTCAGACTGGAGCCCTAGGTAAAGTCATAACAGAGATGGCTTCAACGTCAGAGCACCCCTCGCAGTGGCTGCTCCTGGTTCCTCTGGGTCCCCTCCCCCGCCCCTTAGACCCTTGAGGCAAATCTGATGACAGACTCCCTGCCTGGCCAAGGTGTTAGCAGTTGATTGTGGTTTACTGCCTTCAGGTCTCAGGTAACATTTACATTTTGACAGGAGGCAGAGGAGGGCTCCCTTGCTGGGGCTTTTAGGCACCTGTGGCAGGACCGGGCTGGAGCATTTGTGGACTGTGACGTCTCCTGTCTGTGCCTGGCCTGGAGTTGTGCATTATGCGTGTGTGGGAGTGGGGTTGTGGGAAGGTGGGATATAATTATGGAGGGCTTTGAGGCTCACAGGCAGAAGGTTTAAATTGACATGAAAGGCAGTTGGGAGCCACTGCAGGTTTCTGAGAAGGCAAGAGAGATGCTCCAGGCAGAAGAGAAACAGTCGTTCCTGCTGTGTGTGAAGAAATCTTCCCCTCTGCCCCACAAACGCCCACTACCACAACTGTCTTGCAAATGTGCGCTGATAGCCATCAGGGAAGGGCTGATAGCCATCAGAGAGGAGGCCGGCTTAGTACTTTCGAATTTTTCTTTTATTATTCCCTTAGGGTACTTTTTCTAAGTGCCAGTTAAAATTTCTATCTGGGTACGGTTGGGTGGTAGGAGCCCTAGGCTCCTGGCTCTGAGCATCTTCCAGACTTGAGGCGTCCTGCAGAAGGGTGGGGCTAGCTGCCCCCACCAGCAAATATCTCCGGAAACACAGGCTAGTGATGCTCTTGGTTGTGTGGCTTCAGACAGGGCCATGGAGCTTCTGCCTCCCTGGGTGAGGGAGCTGTGGACTCCTGGAGGCTGAGGGGGAGTCAGCCAACCTCTCCCTCTGGGGAGTGCTGTAGTTCCAGGGTCTTGGGAAGTGACTCATGGCTCCATTGGCAGATTTTGCCACCAACAAGATCCTTTGGGAGCAATAGTAGGTTGAAAAAGTGCAACAGGAAAGCCCTGGGATTGCTGGCAAGAGCAACCTGCAGGGCTAGGCATGGGGGTGGGGAGGCAGAGTGAGGCAGCTGCAGTCCTGGGGTGTGGGGGTAAGTTCAGGGGGGTATGGATGGAAGAGAGGCATTGGTCTGGCACTGCCCCACTACAGTAGTGCCCCTGTCAGCCCTTTGAGGGAGCACAGGTAGATGCAGGATGGAAGTCCCCCGACACCCACCCACCCCCACTCTGCAGAAATGACTGGGCTCCAGGGCCAGCACCAGACAAGCCACCCTGACAAGGTGGCACCAAAGCAATAAAAGAAGGATCCCAGTTCTTTTGGAGCCTCTAGCCTAGCTGAAGCCATAAAAAACACATGCTAATCACACACACATACACCTATATATGCTTATTCACACACACCTAGAGCCAATGTGGGAAGTTAAGACTCTTGCAGATAAGCTTGGCTTCTGGGGGTTCATGCCTTCACAGAGGCCCTAGCAATGCTTCTAGGGGACTGGGACCATCCCCATTGATTCTGGGTGAAGACCCTGTGCTTGGATGGGCCCCTGGGAGGAAGCCACACCCATTAGCTTCAGCTTCGGGCCAGCCTTCAGGCTATTAGCATTCGCAGCAGAAAATTCTGTTCTGGCTCTTCTCTCAAGGACTTGTTTTTCTTCTTACCATAAATTCAAAAAGAAAAACATTCTCTTGCGTTATCAGCAGCCAAAATGAAGGATTGTCAAAATGGGCTGGACCTTACATCTTTGCTGAGAAATCTGAGGGCTAGAGGCAGAGGGGCAGGGGAGGGAACAAGGGGAGGGGCCTGCTATCTTCCATCCTTTCCAGCTGAGCTAGGAGAGTAAGGAGCGGGCCCCTACTCCCCTGGGCAATCAGAAAGTGAGCTTAGAAATGTGTGTGTGTGTGTGTGTGTGTGTGTGTGTGTGTGTGTGTGTGTGTGTGTGTGTGTGTGTGTGTGTGTGTGTGTGTGTGTGTGTGTGTGTGTGNTGTGTGACACGTACAGTGAGAGAGAGAGAGTTGAAGGGGGGTCTGCCTGTTATATGTAGGAGCCAGTGTGCCTGCTCATAAGTGTGATGAGTAGGTTTCTCTGTATGCATGCCATAGCTAGTGACCTTTTCTGAGCCTCAGCTTCACTTTGGCATTAGCCACGCTCTGAGCCATTCCTATCTTTTTGAAGAGCTCTCTGCCTGGTTGTACTGTCTGGGTCTCCTTCCACCCCAGTGACTCTTCCTTATTTCTGTTTTGCTAGCTTCTCCTCCTACCCCTCAAATCTGAGTGTTCTCTGGCTCCTCTTGCCTTTCACTTCCTCTGTTGGCAAGAACATGTGGCCATGTCAGGGCTTCCCTCTCACCCCTCTCCTGGCTATTGCCACTTCTCCAGCCCAAACTTAACCCCTCTCTAATATTTCAGTCCTTTAATTCCAGCTACTTGCTGAACATTTCCTCTTGGATGGTAGGCCATCACATCAGACTCAACATTCACAGACTCATCTCATTATCTCTCAAAGATGGTTTGTGTTACACAGGCTTTCTAGTCTCCCAGACGAGAAACCTCAGAACCATCTCTGACTCTACCCTGGTCCACCGCACCCCCTGCCAACAACTCATGTCTACACAGCACTAATCTCTTTCCTTTCCAGTTCATAATACACACACCTGCCAGATTAATATTCCTAAATATCCTGTATTCATGACATTTCTGATCAACATCTTTGAGGGGTGACACCTGATGGCCTATAAGTTTCAGCTTCCTTAGTTTGGAATTCATGGCTGTCTTTGAGTGGGCCTAACATTATGCTGTGTATTCTTCCAACTTAATTTCCCACTCTTTGCTCGCATCACAGATTTGCAAATTTTAGTGTATCTCAAAATCACTTCAGGGAACTTGTGAAAATGTAGATTCCTGGGTACCACCACCTTAGCTTCTGCTTCTGGGAGCTGGAGTCTAGGAATATGCATTTTAACTAGCTCCCTCAAGTGACACTGATGTACTTGGTCTACTTGAGAAACACAGCCTATGTGGACCCTATATCCCAGCCACATTTCTTTTCACAGGATTTCCTAAACATGTCTCTCATACATTTTGTATATTTTTTGCATCTCACCAGGAATGCCCTCTCCTCTCTGCTTGTACTCCTGACCTGTCCAATACCACTATACCTGTCCTTCAACTCTGCATTCAAATTCAACTCCTCTGTGAAGTCTTCTCTGATCATTCTAGACTGAAGTGAACTCT